ATGTAACGGCTTATCTCTAACTTTGCAATACATATTTGGAACCTTTTTTCCTTTCTTCCATAAAGTTATGAGATGCAGATAGGAATCAGCAATGTTCGGACTGTAGATCTATTAGACTTCCCTCCCACGTTACTACCGTTCTTATTGGCCTAAACTGACACAGAAAAGTAGGACGTGAAATTTTATTTCATTTTCTTTCCAACCTTAACCCTTCTAGTGGGCGACGGTTAAAACAGTTCAAGAATTCAAGAAAATGGTTAATTTGATCTGATAAATGATGAGTTAGCTGTTTTTGGTCATTGAAGAAGACATGAAGATAAAACTTCAGACTCATTTAGAAGTTAATGTGAATTAGTGAGACTAAAGAAGTATTTTTCATGGCCTATGATGTAAATTATACGTGTTTTTCTACTCCTTGATTTTAATTAATCTTGATAAAATGTCACTTTAAAAGAATTAGCCTAGACATAAAATATATTAAAACTAGATGTTATTTCAACTGTTTACAATAGTGCTGTTGAGCTATTGTTTAGTATTCTACTGACCTACTGTACTTGCCATAGTTTAATTTCATATGTCACGACAATGGTTTATATTTTAAAATTCTTATTCGAAAGATCTATTGATTTATGGAGGTATCCATTTCATTTGTATCTCATTTCCTTGTCCAAAACAATTTTGCAATGTTCATGGAAACCTATCTTTTAGAATTATGGAAGCCTGGAATCCTTGAAATGGGTACTCAAATTAAAGCATAGCTCAACTGGTTTTTAAAGCTGAGAATATTTTTTTCCGTTCAGTTAGAATTGACTATTTAGCATCAGAAAAGATGTTTGGTGTATTCCCTGACTTTTACCATTTTCCTTGATCACCTGTAATATTGCCTGGAAGCCACATGGGAGTACGTGTATAGTGTCAGAAAATACGTTTAAGAATAGCATGACTTGAAACGTTACAGTGTAAATCGATTCTGTCACTCCAAAAACTGAAGTACAAGATCATCAAATAGAAATAAAATTGTCTAAAATTACTTTCAATCAATCAAGACAGAAGGTTTTCAATGGTAAAATAATTTTTGGAAGCACACTTATTAGGGCTTAAGTCTCAATATAAGGTCATTCTACTACCTACGAATGTGAGCTATACACAGCTTTTGCTGTGGAATTTATAGACTACCTAGGCGGTAGATCCATGCCATCCATAGTCGTAATAATAATATAACGCCCTATTCTAACCCTGTTTCCCTCCTCAGAATTATGAATCGAATAGGATGAGATGGAAACTTTGCATTATCGGTTGTGTGGAAAGCCTTATGTGTTATCTTGTATAATTATAGAATTGGTAGCGTTCCAAACATCTCTCTCACACAGCATGGCGTTGCCTGTCTTCATTGTTCCAATAAGATGCAGGAAAGTTCGGCATTCGACTTTTTTTTTTACCCAATTGACACTCTACATGATAGCTGTGGCCAGAATGTAGGTTTATAGGTTATAAAACCATGTAAAAACAGTGGGGACCAGACAATTATTTTTTATATTAGCGTAAACAGTTAAACATTAAAAAACTAATAGCATAGTAAATACTATAGAACCGGGTTATCATAATATTTATACATTATCAGCCAACGTGAAATACAAAAGAGTAATTTTATTTCAATAGTTTATAATTGAAGTAATATTCGCCTTCCGTCACTAGGTTATATAATAAGTTTATAACATTCTATTTTCATATGAAACCACTTTTATATGATCTGACCCACAATGCAGATCTCATGGAAAGGGCAACAAGATCAAACTTGGCAAAATTTATATAACATTAAGCCCGTGGCAATTTCTGGGTCATCTTTAGATGCAATAGGGTTTTAAGAGAAAAAAATTTAACAAGCTAAATCATGGCACGCGTAACAACGTTGCACAGTTGCACGCTTTGGAAGTTATGCCCAAGTAATCATTGTAGTTAACTTAAATCACAATGAATGGTAAAATAAATACCTCAAGCTGAGAACATTTAATATTGGACTAAACTATAATATGATAGGGTAATACAATACACCTATTATTATGTAGCCATTGTTAGTCAATTAACCTACATAAAACCAATTTTATTATAGTCAGAATGTCCCCGTATCTTACAAAAAAATCTCTCATATATATGAACCCAATTTTACACTCGTCCGAGGGATTAATTTTACCAAGGTCGTTGGACCCTGGCCGTTTCAAATCCCCTGACAAAAGTCCTCTCATAAACGTAAGAGCTCAATTCTCTTTTTAGAAAAGGTTGGGGGGGGGGGGGGGGGGGGGGGGGGGGAG